CGTTGATTATGGATTATTCGATCCATTGATTATGGATTGTACGACTATAAGTCATTAAACTGTTATTTTGCATTGCAAAGTTTATTAAAACGGAATTAAGAGATTTGCAGTGTCTGTCATAGACAGGTCAAAAGTTGTCACACTAATTGTAAGTGGATTCTGTTGGAATATCGCAAAAAGAAAAATTATCAAACTATTCACTAATTGTTTTTTCTAAAAGGTTACATGATGATTTTTCGGAATAAACGTCCGATAGATATCTAAATATTTAAATATATTATGAGATCTAGAGTTATTAAATTACAGTAAATATATTTAAGGTTATAAACGTATCTATGAAATATTTTTGTATTTCACTTCTTTTTTCACACAAGTACAATGAAATGGTAGTGGAATATCACAAAGACAGGATCTTTCGAATTATTCACTAATTTAGTTTTCTAAAATTTTATATGACAATATTTTGGAATTAACTTTAATACCTAATTATTTATAAAGAAATACTTAGCTGTAATGCTGCCCTACTACATAGAGTTGTTTCGTACACAGCATACTTATCAATCCATACCGACATTAATTTTATATTACATTTTTCTTTCTTTTTTCTCCCCTTTCATAACAATACTCTTACAAATTATCAACAATAAACCATATTAAACAATAGACATAGCATAATAAACACTTTCCCAAAATAAAAAAAAAAATCCTTTTTTCTCTTTAAATTCTCAAACGCAATATAACATCGCACACATAAATAACACAGCAATTCCTTGAATGTAGCCAAAAAGATAAGACGATTATGGACCAATTTAAAATTTAATAAATAATTACTAGACTACAGTAAATGTATATAATATTATAAACACATGATTTATACATCCATGAAATGATTTTATATTTTATTTCTTCTTTCACACAAGTACACTGAAATAGTTTTTTTAACAATGCCATCAACTTGCTTAGGTGGATTTTAAATACATTTAAAAAAAATTACCTTATTATCACATTCAAAATTCAAAAACCGAAACAAAGGATATAACCATTGCAGCAGAACGTATTGAAAAAAAACTAGAGACCATATCTTATCTCCTAACTGTCCGATTTTAACGATATTTTTTTTTTTTTTAGGCTATTCCATAAACGTTTAGAAAACCATAAACCATAAACGTAACATTCCCAAAAAAGTGTCGAGAAAATGACTTTAGCGAAGTTTCAATGAAATCGGTAGATTCGTTTTGGCGCTACAGTCTATAGCTACGTTTTTCTGCATTTATTTTTCTCCTTTATTAACTTATCGAATACATTCAAAAGTTATATTTAGCATTTTTTCGTAACTCTAAATAATGCGAAATAATTATCTTTTTAAAATAAACCATATTAAAAGTACTTTAGAGGAAGACGTATATGAACATCGGGCATTTAAGCCCTGTAAAGTGACATCAATGGGGATAAGACTTAATTTATCTTAAAGACCACTTAATTATACAATGATACACCAAGTTTAATCAAAATCGTTACAGCTGTTTTTGAGAAAACTGTGAAAATGTGTTTCAGCGTTGATATAAAGTGGCACATCCGGTTAGCCGATTTTAAGGAAAAAGATGCCATCACAACTAAGGCATATACCTATCTTAAATACGTGATATCAGTTTCATAGGACTTTTCGTTTTTGAGCTAGACTGCTAACATACAAACACACAGACACACAGACCATTTTTTGGGACTTGTTCATTTCGACTCAGGGTACCTCAAAACGCATAAATCCACCGAAAACTCAGATTCAAAAAATTTCTCGATCGCAATACTTACACTTACATATATACGTAAGTGAAAGTAAAAATATGAATTTCAGAATGATCTGAAAGTCCATTGAATTATGTGTAACGGTAATCAATGGATTTTTTATCACTAAAAAATCGATTTTCTATTTGCGAACATTAAAATGAAATGTATTTAACTAAAATTCAATATATTTTTGTACACATATATACTTTTTTAATACCAAAAAAAAATCATAATTTAGGAACCGTTTTACTGATTTAAACAAATAGATATAATTGTAACTTCAGTTCCAAATTGGCAATTTTAGCAGTTCAATGTCATGAGGTGAAAGAATTTCTTTTAAAACTAGTTAAATCAAATGGGATGCAACTTTTTGCCGAAATTTGTTCATAACTGTTAATTGAAAAATATACAACGAAATACTTGAAAGTAAGTGAAAATGACATTTTTTTTTTTGGAACTGATTGCCTTAAATAACAAGTTAACTTTATAAGATTATATTAAACTTTCCAGAAAATAATTTCCAAAATATTAACGAAGTCACCTTTAAGATTCTCACATATTTGGTTATTTAAAAAAAAAAAAATACGATCACCAAATGAAAAATAAGAAATTCTAATTTCGAAGAATTAATTAAATAACATGTTACGAAGAAACTTAAAGTGAACAAATACCGATTAAAATTAGCGCTGTAAGTAAATACAACTAAATTCTATTTTCTATGAGGCGTTACACATGGTTTACTTTACCGGTAATTGGACAGCTATGTAAATATGTCTTAGAAACGTAACAATACAAACTTCAGCAGAAATCAGAATTGATAAAAAGTAATTGTGATACTTATGCAAAATACAAATAAGCAATGTAGCTATAACTATAATTAAGTGACATTAAAAAAAAAAAATCATATATTTTATTTAATCTTTTCTTCTCCGTCCTACTATGCAATATAATCTTTGAAATTGTTTCGATAGCCTGTATTATAATATATTAATCAATATTTTCTTCTTTAAAAAAAAAAATAACTCTATTAATAATTGGCGCAAACTTCGGGGGATGAGGAAGGACGTGGCGATCGCGAGAACATCGTTTCGCCCCCTCTCCTTATATTTTAAAGAACAAAAGTAAAATGAATAATAACAGTTAACCTACGAGAATGAATAAATTATGTAAACAAAAATCAATTAAGGAAATAATAATAAAACAAATGGCCTAGAAGTAGGTAAACAAGTATGCCCTAAGTTCCTACTATTGAAATTTTAGTTTAAATTTAAATATAATTATATTTATAAACATATCATATGATTTTATGATTTATAAATGTGGATTCTACCATTTTTACATGAAGATTTTCCGCGGAAAATTTGAAGCATCAGAGAATTTAGAGTTCATTTCACAGCTTCAAATCTTCAAATAATAATAAAAATGTGTGATATATTTTAAAATATACCCATAACTCATACGTAATAACTTATATAATATATATATATATATATAGTATTATATTGTTCGGTTTATAATAATTATGTTGATTATGCCAACTGTCACCCATAATTTGTATACACCATATAAATTTCCGCAAATTTTTTGGTGGTTCTTTGCCCCCTCTCTCCAACCAGAATAAAAATTCTGCAAATATGTTGCGAATGTTTTAAGCACAGCGTAAAATATTGAATTTTTATTCCAAGAAGCACACTTTACTTTTTTTTACTATGAAAAACAATCACAATTTGTGTTTTCACATGTTCCAGCAATATGCGTCAATTCGGCTCCAAGAATAATTAATTTAATTGTCAAAAATGGCACTTCTATATTTAAAAATTTTAGCCGCCATTGCCCCATTGTGCGACGGGGAGGGGATGGGAGGGTGAAGAACTGTGGAATGTGGGAAAGAAGAGTCGACGAATGCCACCCTTGCCGGAGTATCAGGATGCCAGATGCCACAGGAGCATTTTCAGGATAACATCACGCGTAGGGCTATAGGGCGAATATTAATACACTGAATAAGTTCCCTAATATCTCATTATTTATTTTCCTTATTTATGATTTTATTTACAACTAATAAACTGTTGACATCACGTAAAAAAAAAAAATCATAAATAATGCTCAAAAGATGTGAGAGTATTTTCCATTTCCCGATGAGAATTTATTTCAAATTAATTTACTATACTGCACATTGGCGGTTAGTTACGTTATACACCGTATCAACATTTAAAATTTATCATTTCAGTTACATAATTATTAACTTTAGTTGAAATGTATAACTATTAAATTTTTTAACTAAAACAAAAACATATAAGGATTTTTTGTTTTTGATAACTAATTAAAGTGACTTTAATACAGAACAATATAGTCATGTTTTCCCGGTTCTAATGAGTGAGCCATTATCAGAGTATTTATGACTTCATCAAGCTTTTTATTTGTTTTTAAATTAAATAGGCAGCTGTAAAAACCAATATCCACACCACAATTCTATTTTATCCCCTTCTTACTTCATTTCTGACTAAATTTAATAACAGTATCATCTACATATTTATATAAATTAAAAATATTATAATATAATTTATCAATCCATTGTAAGAGAGAGGAAAATGACGTATCCCGTCGCTAACTGAGTATTAGGATACCAGGTCATAAGAGAAGCCCGAATTTCCGCCCTACTCCACCGCCTAAATCTAAATCTACAAGCCAGTGGGTACTTTCAAAACTATTTTTCCTTTT